CATAGATATTGATAACTGCGACCCAGCAGTCCCGGCTCCAAGGGCAGCCGGTATGAAAAGAAAGGCGGACCAAATGGCACCCGTCAAAAAGGAGAAATAGCAATCACTAGCCGGGGAAAGGTCAGATGACCAACGACCTCAGCCGGCTGGTGACTGCCTTGATGTCATCCTAGATGACAGCCGTCCTGAAAGAACAGTTAAGGTCGGGACGGTAGCCTTCGAACGGTTGGGAGAAGGCTTGCTCCAGCTGCTGAAGGAATTCAAAGACATCTTTGCCTTTGAAGTGGAAGAGATGCCAGGCGTCAGCCCGGATCTTGCTGTCCACAAGCTAGCCGTAGATCCCAAAAAGCAACCGGTTAGGCAGAAAAAGAGGGATCATGGTGGAGAAAGATCTCAAGCGGCAGCGGCTGAGGTCAAAAAGCTGTTGGATGCTGGGTTCATTAGGCAATGCTACTACCCGGATTGGGTGGCAAATGTCGTTCTAGTAAAGAAGTCGAACGGTACTTGGCGGATGTGTGTGGATTACAAAGATCTGAACAAAGCATGCCCAAAAGATAGCTACCCGCTTCCAAAGATTGACAGCCTAGTCGACTCAACAGCCGGCCATGCGTTAATGAGCTTTATGGATGCTTATTCCGGCTTCCATCAAATACCTCTCTGGAAGAAAGATCAGGAGAAGACGGCTTTTGTCACTGATCAGGGGTTATTCTGCTATACGGTGATGCCGTTTGGGTTGAAGAATGCACCGGCTACATTCCAGCGCATGATAAACACCGTTTTTATCAACCAGATTGGCAGGAATGTAGAGGCGTATATCGATGACATGATAGTCAAATCCAAGCTACAGATGGATCACCTAGCAGACCTGCGAGAAACCTTCACCACACTCAGGCGGCACCGGGTCATGCTTAACCCAAAGAAATGCGTATTTGGTGTTGAGTCTGGGAAGTTTCTCGGATTCTTGATTGACCAAAGAGGCATCGAAGCTAATCCGGAGAAAATACAGGCGGTAATTGACATGAAGTCTCTCCGCACTGTAAAAGAGGTCCAGAAGTTGACCGGTTGTCTGGCGGCATTGGGGAGGTTCCTCAGCCGGTCAGGTGACAAGTGCCTCTATTTCTTCCAGGCAATCAGGAAGAGGTCAAGGTTTGAATGGGGTGAAGAAGCAGAGGCGGCATTCCAGAGGCTTAAGCAGCACTTGCATTCTTTGCCAAGGCTAGTGAGCCCCCTACCCCGGGAGGTTCTGTACATGTACCTAGCCGTCTCTGATCACGCCCTTAGTGCCGTTCTCCTCGCTGAGAGAGACGGCATTCAGCTGCCGGTGTACTTCATCATCCATGTCTTAAAAAATGCTGAGCTCCGGTACCCCATGATCGAAAAATTTGGGTTGGCCTTATTCGTAGCAGTCAGGCGGTTGAAGCCTTATTTTTTGGCACATCCGGTTGTGGTATACACAGATCAGCCGCTCAAGCGTACGATGACTGCTATAGAGTCATCCGGTAGAATGATCAAGTGGGCTGTTGAAATACAAGGCCTTGAGATAACTTTTGAACCCAGGCGGGCAGTGAAAGGTCAGGCGTTTGCCGACTTTATTGTCGAGATGACTAGGCCGGTGCACCCGGAAAACCCTGATCAGGTCTGGAAGTTATTTGTAGACGGCAGCTCTACGGTGAACGGCTGTGGTGCAGGTGTTATCTGTCATTCCCCGGAAGGGGATAAGTTTGAATATGCACTACGGTTTAAGTTCCAAGCCTCCAACAATGAGGCAGAGTATGAAGCCCTGCTAGCCGGATTGCGCATGTGTAAGGCAGCCGGTGCAAGAAAGGTCGACGCCTGCTCAGATTCACAGCTGATCGTTAGCCAATACCTTGGTGACTACGAAGCCACCCATCCGGCTATGATCAAATATTTGCAGGCGGTCAAAGAGGAGGCTGGGTCCTTTGATGAATTTCATCTGCGACAGGTGCCCCGGTCTGAAAACAATCAGGCGGATGCCCTCTCAAAGTTGGCATCATCAGCCTCCGGTGATGCTCCTAGGACGGTCTTTTGGGAAGTCATTGAAAAACGAAGTATTCAGAATGATCCCATTGGAGTCTTGGACAGAACTGCTACCTGGATGGATCCCATCCGGTCCTTTTTGACGGATGGTACCTTGCCAGATGACCCTTCAGAAGCATCAGCGCTCAAGAAGCGTGCTTCAAGTTTTGTTATGCATCAAGGGGAACTCCTCCGGAAGGGATACCTGTAGCCGTTTTTGAAATGTGTAACCCCGGATAGGGGGAGAGAAGTTTTGGAAGATCTGCACGCGGGGTTTTGTGCCTCGCATATTGGCGGCAGGTCCCTGGCCAGAAGAACCAGACGGCAAGGGTACTTCTGGCCCACTCTTGAAGCGGATGCCATGGATCTAGTAAAGAGATGCGACAAGTGCCAAAAATTCGCTAAGTTGATACATCAACCGGCAACAGAACTCACGGCAATCCATAGTCCGGTTCCGTTTGCTAAATGGGGCATGGACATTTTGGGACCTTATACGCCTGCATCAGGCGGCCGCCGCTACATTCTTGTAGCAGTAGACTACTTCACCAAATGGGTTGAGGCAGAGGCGGTAAAAGGGATTAAAACGAAAGACGTGATTTCTTTCATCTGGAGAAACGTCATCACCCGGTTCGGGGTTCCAATGTCCATGGTTTTCGACAACGGACCGCAGTTCGAAACGCCTGTCCTGAAGATCTGGTTGGGAGACCAAGGAATTTCCCATTGTTTTGCATCCGTTGGCCGTCCTCAGGCAAACGGTCAAGTTGAGGCTTTTAACAAGTTGATCTCAGACGGGATAAAGAAGAAAGTAGAAAGAGCCGGTGGACTATGGGCAGAGGAATTACCTCATGTCCTTTGGGCTATCCGGACAACCGAAAAAGGGGCAACCGGTGAGACCCCATTTCTCATGACATACGGCACTGAAGCAGTTCTTCCCATTGAACATTATGAGCCTACTCTACGCATTATGTTATATGATGAGGAGGCTAACTGGGAAGCCATGCGGTTGGCATTAGACGCTCTTCCAGAGCGAAGGGGGAATGCTGCCTTGCGTCATGAGATCTACCGTCTGCGTATGACTAGAGCCTACAACAAGCGGGTTCGTAAAAGACCTTTGAAAGAAGGAGATTTTGTGCTTCGCAAAATGGAGGCAACCGGTAGGGCCAATGAACAAGGCAAATTAACCCCAAATTGGGAGGGACCCTACCGGATCGTTGAAGAAGTACGAGACGGCACTTACCGCCTGGAAACTCCAGACGGAAGAAAGTTGCCTAGAACTTGGAATGTAGATAACCTCAAAAAATACTACTTCTAAGTATTGTACATCTTTTGAAAATTTTCAAATGATTAATGAGAATTACATTCAATTTTGTATACAGCCGCCATGTCTTGTGCCTACCACAAGCGGCACCAGTAATTAATTTTTTCATCTGGTGACACCCATACGGGTGAATTCATCGAAGAGAACATCTCCCATTTGGGTGGTAAATTTTTCTAAGCGATCACACAGGCGGACAAATCCGCCTGACGATCCTTCGCACCAAAAAAGGGCAGGCTAGCAACCCCAAACTTGCAGCCGGCTCACTTTTTGGAAGGACAGCCGGTACTCAATACCGCCGCCTGACTCTCTAAGAGCAGGCCTAAACATTTGGTCTAGGCCATAATTCATTCAGGGGTATGCTTGTAAAAGCCCAACCGGAGAATGGACATCCTAATCTGGCGTGATTCTTTTGCGAAGTCCCAACCGGTAATTCGAGCTATATCATATGGATAGTCGCCTGGCTTGCAAAGACCCAGACCGCTATCCAAGGGAAATTACCCAGACGCCATCCGGTTTGGTTTTGGGTCGAAATTTCTTCGCCTAGTTTGCGAAGACCCAGACGGCAGTCTTACCGGTGGGGTCTTCTTGGCAACCCATGCAAATTTCTTCGTCTAGTTTGTGAAGACCCAGACGGCAGTCTTACCGGTGGGGTCTTCTTGGCAACCCTTGCAAATTTCTTCGCCTAGTTTGCGAAGACCCAGACGGCAGTGTTACCGGTGGGGTCTTCTTGGCAACCCTTGCAAATTTCTTCGCCTAGTTTGCGAAGACCCAGACGGAAGTGTTACCGGTGGGGTCTTCTTGGCAACCCTTGCAAATTTCTTCGCCTAGTTTGCGAAGACCCAGACGGCAGTGTTACCGGTGGGGTCTTCTTGGCAACCCTTGCAAATTTCTTCGCCTAGTTTGCGAAGACCCAGACGACAGTGTTACCGGTGGGGTCTTCTTGGCAACCCTTGCAAATTTCTTCGCCTAGTTTGCGAAGACCCAGACGGCAGTGTTACCGGTGGGGTCTTCTTAGCAACCCTTGCAAATTTCTTCGCCTAGTTTGCGAAGACCCAGACGGCAGTGTTACCGGTGGGGTCTTCTTGGCAACCCTTGCAAATTTCTTCGCCTAGTTTGCGAAGACCCAGACGGCAGTGTTTCCGGTGGGGTCTTCTTGGCAACCCTAGTAAATTTCTTCGCCTAGTTGGCGAAGACCCAAGCGGTAGTGTTACCGGCGGGGTTCTTTTGGTTATCCTCGCAGAAATATGTATAAAAAAATAACAAGAATTCTAGTATTGAAGTGCAGAAACATAAAAAGCATTCAAAAGTCGGCTCAGCCGGTGAAAATGTTAATATTCAAAATAAAAATTATTACAGCTTAGCCCATCTCATCCGGTGCTATTACAAGATAATGCAAGGCGCGCAGGCCAGGAAGTAGTTGCTACTCCAGGCGAACAGTGAACCGGTCCTATTCCGGTTGGTTTTGGGTTGGATCAGGGTGAGCGGCTGCGTTGGCTTCAGGAACAACTTCTTCCTCTTCAGCAGCCTCCGCCTGCCGTCGCGCAATCTCCTCCCTAACCCAAGCGTCATAGGGTCCGGGCCCCGGCTCATTCGCCTCCTCGGCCAGAATGGCAAGATCAGAATATTTGAAGGCGAGTTCCCAGACGGTGAAGTCCGCCTCCGGGTGGATAAGGGAAAACGCCCGTTGCATCCGGTTTGCACAGTCATGCTCATTCTCTTCAATGAGCCTCTCCTGCTCTGACTCCAAGGTGGCCTTGAAGTTCTCATTGGCAGCAGCCGCCTCTTTGCGCAGTCGGTCATTCTCTTTGGCAAGGCGGCCATTTTCAGTCTCCGCCTTGCTCAGCCGTTGGAGGGGCTCTATCTGTTCCTCCAACTTTTTATTGGCATCATCCAGGGACGCCTGCAGTTGGTCAACTTGGTTTTTCAGCTGATCAATCTGCTGTTGGAGGGCCTTGGTCTTCTCCGCCTGTTCCATGCGTATAGATTTAGATTCTAAGCCATGCATGTACAAAGAGTAGTCAGCAACATTATGGGCGTCATCAACAGCCCGTTTGCTTCTCCTTACCTCCTCAGACTTGCGGGTATAAGCTCGTTTGAGCCCCTCTACGCGCAGCATAGCCTGCAAAAATACAGCCGGTTAGTACTGCATATTTAAAAATGCACGTCAAGAAAATTACCGCATGGTTGTTGGAGCATACGTCGGCCAGGTCGACCAGCACCCGGTCGGCATTAAAGGAGTTGATCCCAGGGATCGCCTCCTTCTCGTCCCTGGGGACGGCTTTCAGCATGGCCCGGGCATATTGTGCCCCGTCCGGCCAGCGGGGAGAATTATCTGCACTAGAAACAGACGGTGAGAAACTCGCATATGCTCTGCCTATAGATTGCCGGCTGATTGGAGAATCCCCTGGCTGCGATCGAGACTGTGAATAAGACTTGACCCGCATGGGCAGATCAAGCAGTGTAAGGTCGAAGTTACCTTGGCGGCCCGAACGGCCTTCAGAGGGACCGGTTGCGGTCCTCAATGGGATGGCAGAAAGCACATCCGCAGATCCAGGCCCGTCTGGGACCCTTATTGATTTGCCGCCGGTAGTTTGCCGGTCGGCTGTCTTCTGCACCTTAGATGCAGACTCTTGTTGGGTCGGCGGAGGCCTGACCTGTTTTTGAAGGGACAGGGGCATCTGCTTCCCGTCCTGTAAACGAGAAAAATATAAGTTGTGGGATAAAAGGATTGAAATAAACGAGAAGGATCAGACGGTTATACCTTCTTCGCCGCCTGGGCAGCAAGTTTTTTCTCGAGATTGGCTTTCCGGATGTCGGCAGCCGACCTAGCCGGTGTCTTCTCGGTGGGCAGCATTTTCTTGGCTTCTTCTGCAGAGGAAGGAACACGGTTAGAATAATAAATAAGCAAGGAAATAAAAGCATCCGGTTCGAAAGAAACCGGCTGAGTTCCGAAAACATACGTTTTTTAAACATGCTGCTTAGACCACAAGCGGACAAGAAGCATTCGTCCCTAAAAAATTCATGTTTGGGCACCCAGTTTCTAGGTACCCTTACTATCTCTCCGGATGAGAGGGTGTCAGGAACTAACTCAAAAAACCCGGAGTCAAGGATGGTCTCTCTATCATCCTCCGGGACAGGGGGCAGGCAACACTTGGTCCCCAAGAGTTCTGGTTTCCGGTTGTAGATCCGGAATTCTCTGTTCTCTGCCGTAGTTGGGGCCTTAACCAAGTAGAACCGGTGCTTCCAGTCCGACCATTTGGATGGCTTGTCCAAGGTCATAAGGTATTTGGACTGGGTGGTTAAGGTATACCAGGCTCTCCAGCCGCCTGGGCTCCTACTCAAGTAATGCATGTGGGCAAACGCCTCCCAGCCGGGGTTGAGGCCCTGCATCTCGCAGGCGGCGATATACCCTAAAATATTTACCCATGAGTTGGGGGTTAGTTGCCAGAGACCTAGGCCATACCCCCTAAGTATGGCTTTTATTGTGTCGTGGAGAGGGAAGCGGACTCCAGCCACGAAGGCCGCCTCGTAGCACCCGAACCAAGCGTTCGCGTTCGGTTGTCCATCCTCCCACCATATTGTTCCCAGAGCAGCCGGGACTTTTATTGTATAGTCACCCCCTAGCGGCCGCCGTTTGATAAAATCTGGCAGCGCAGCCCGCATGAGCTCGCGGTCCTTAGAGGAGACGGCGATCATGAGAGGATCGTTCCTATTATCCTAAGAAGGCCTCTCCGCCTCCTCGCTATCCTCAGATTCGGTTAAGTAGCTGCTACTGCTACTTTGAACGTGACCGGCATCAGAGCCGGCTGGGGAGTTGGAGACCTCCTTATCAGAGCCTACCTGCTCTCTGGTCTCCTGGAGGGGAGCACTCTCTTCGTTTAAAATGCTATCACCCGGGGTGCTAGGAGCGCCCCCGGGTGAGCCTCTCTGCTCTACCTCTCCTTGCTCTACTTCACCGCCTGAAGCTGGGACCTCAGGCGGCTGCTCATCTGAGCTCCCACTTCTGTAGTTGGGATCTCTGGCAGTAGACCGGATTCTGGCCATTGTGTCCTGCACAGACACAGAGTCGGTCGATATGGGTGTTGAAAAAGGGTTGTCCCAAAGAATAGAGGCGGCAGACCCAGTTCTAGACTCAGCCGTACTAATAAACCGGCTGAGTTCACAGCTAGGTTCCGGGTATGGGTATAAGGGGTCCATCTACTTATGGGACCAATGAACAAAAATGCGAGTAAAAGACTCAAACGGAAATACATGAAAAAGCTAGAAAGAATAGAGACGGTACCTAGAAGAAAATCTGGAAATTCTTTGGGATGCTTGCGAAGACGCAGGCGGTTCAAAATCCGGCTGGGTTTCTCTGATTACCCTCTCGAAAACCTCTGGCTAGCTTGCAACGACCCAGACGGTCTGTAGACCGGTTGCTCTCAACGAATCTCAACTCCGAATGCTCTCAACTCTCAAATTGTCGGCTGCTCTCAAATTGTCAGAAATTTGGCAAAGTTTGTAAATGAGAGCTCGGGGGACATCTTCTCCTATTTATAGAATTTGTCCCAGAAGGTGAAAAGTCGTGACTCTTCGCCTTCTGCTTTTCCATCCTTCAAAAAGAATCTGAAGAGTTGTAAAAAAAAAAAAAAAAAAAAAAAAAAAAAAACCTTTCACCGGCGCCACGTGGCACCCTGCCACGTCAGCACCAGTGAGGGGCAAATGTTTGGGGTAAAAATACCCTAAACACGTGGCCCAATGGCCTAGTGACACGTGGCATCCAGCCGTTGGTCAGCAGGGCTCCAATCCTCTGCTGACACGTGTCCTCTAAACCCTAAAAGGGAAACCATCCCTTCCCCACTATAAATAGTGGAAGGACCCTCATTAATGGGGGGCTGGAACATTTGTTGTTCACATTGAATACTCCTCAAAAAGAAAAACACTTACCCCGAGCAATATTAATTGCAGAATTCTCCCATTACGCGAGAAGTAACTTCTACATTACGTGCATTCTACCTCCCGTATCTTTACTAACTTGATCGTCGGAGGCGGAGCTCCTACCCCCAGGAGTCTTCGTGATTTTGCAGGCACAGGCGTCGAAGGGCATTCTTGGAATTGTAACTCTCCCGCAGGACACATCAAAAAACCCCGAAACAATATGCATAACAAATAATGCACAATTAGTCAAGTAGGCACGATATGATGCAATGAGTTTGCAACCTAACCATGGCTCTAGTTCTCTAAAGTTTGGGATATGGTTTAGTCAGTAGAGGGTCCATGGTTAATTTTCCGGATGCACCGCGCGGAAGCCTAACCGTGAAGGGTTGGCGCGAGTGGATGGGACACCACGAGCTTTAGAAAAAACTCGCTTCCATGGTTTAGTGAATTCAACATTCTCGGATGTACCCTTTGTTGCACAGAGCGTTCAATCAGGTAGATGGAGCATGAATTCCCAGAGGGTTATGTCCATATGTAGAACACATATGGGTTTCAGAAAAATGAGAAAAAATTCAATCAGGAAGTAGGATCGAGTAAATAATACGAAAACCGGTCAAAATTAGAACGCATATTTCTGGCTCGGTATTGGGGGAGGTTGGCGCCAGCAAACAGGGACTGGCGCCAGTTTTTAACTGTAGCCCCTGGCGCCAATGCTGGCGTCTGGCGCTACAGCTAAAAGTCTGGCGCCAAGCTCTGGCCCCTGGCGCTACTTCCCACATGCCTCAACAACTTTCTATGATCGATAAAATTTTCCAGTTTCGCGCGGTGTTATTTCGGTCCTAGTTGTGAAAGATATTTCTCAAATTTCCTACGTGTAAAATCCTATGTTTTTAACTCATTACGGATGGTCTTTCCAATGAGATCTTTTTTATGCATATGACAATAATGTTAATCAAAATTACGCATATGAAATACTTAGAACGTTTCGAGTCTCATCCACTTATTCTAAATCATTGCCGAAACAAATTCAGGAATTAAAATAGAAATCCTCCCCAGTGGAGTCGCCAAAAACGGTAGGGAATATTTCAAGCGTTAACCCCTAGCTTGAACCCCACTGTGATCATACACTAAAGTACGGTGACGTCCAAAAGGGAAGAAGATGGAGCAAAAGAGTCGCCAACAAGTTTTATTAGGAACTTGTAAACCGTTCACAGGGTGAAGGTTACACCCCTTAACGATCCAAGAGATCGTCAACTCCATAAGGTCTAGAACCAAATAAGGGTTCGGGGATGAAGGTACAAATCCAACCTAAAAGAGATTGAACCTGCCCTAATAATAGGCCTCTACTTTATTCTGATCGTATTCATGTGCGCTTTCTGACTAACATGCAATCGATAGGATTAACCCTAAACCTGTTTATCTATGTTGGTTGAATTTTAATGCACTAATAAATCTATTATTGGCGATCACTTGAATTATAATCAAATTAACCCTAAACAAGATTATTAATTGTCTTATTAATCGTGATTACAAGTACCAATATTCCCTTTAAACATGCATAAAAGGCATGATCAAGCAATAAAAATAAAATATCAAGCAACATAATAAATAATAAATATCATGACAATAAAATTATAAATATTAATAATTAAAATAATCATGTTAAAGCATAATAATAGCAAGATCCTAGGCATGATACTAACAAGATTAATAACAAATCCTAGCGTGTCACTAAGCAATAAAAATCAAATCTTTAACCCTAACATGATATTAGTAATCATAAGTATTAGGAAGAACATAGGAAGGATCGTAACAATCATATTTAATATTAAAATTACCCTAGACATGATACTAGGAATCAAAATAATAGTCTAAACATGATATCTACATCATAACATCAATAAAAACCATTAAAGCACTTACTTTGATGCCTCGCACCTCTTTCTAATAACAAAATACACACGTTAGTAACTTCAAGGAAAATAATAAAACAAACAATTAAATTAAATAATTGAAAGAAAGATTTAGGACCAAACCCTCAGAAATTAAACCTTTCACGTCTAGGGCGAAGGCAACTTCGAATTTGGCTAGGTGTGTCTAGATCTTGCGAATGCAGAATTTTGTATGTAAAAAGCAAGTTTAGAAAAAGGGAGAGAGATGGAGAGAATGAGAGAATTGATGATTGCGAATGAAAACTGGTTGTTAGTGAATGTATAAGAATTGATGAGAATTGGTGAATGGAAACGGAGTTTTTAATACGTTATTTATAGAGAAATCAGCCAAAAAGATAAAATTACAAAACCGAGCATTGGCGCACGAAAAACAGAGCTGGCGCCAGCACCAGCGAGAATGAGAGAGAATGAGGGAGAGAGAGATGGAGAGAATGAGAGAATTGATGATTGCGAATGAAAACTGGTTGTTAGTGAATGTATAAGAATTGATGAGAATTGGTGAATGAAAACGGAGGTTTTAATACGCTATTTATAGAGAAATCAGCCAAAAAGATAAAATTACAAAATAGAGCATTGGCGCACGAAAAGCAGAGCTGGCGCCAGCACCAGCTTATTGGCGCCAGGCGCCAACACGTACTAGCGCCAGGCGCCAATTCCAGCGCCAGGAGCCAATGGCTGGCGTTGGGCGCTAATCCTGTTTTTGACGCGTTTTCTAAAATCAGATAAATTTTGCCGTACAGGAGGATAAAATCGTATCTTTCCCTCAAAAATGCTCTTTGATTTTAATTAAAACTCTGAAAAGTCAACAA